AATTGAACTGCAGGACAGAGAGACGTATTGTTGAGTCGAGCACGTGAGACGTTCATTGTGAATTGTAGCGTTTGTTATAGCGTGACTGTGGAAATTAAGTGTATTGCTTTGTTTGTTTTGAATTTCGCGCAAAGCTACACGAGGGCTATCTGCGCTAGCCGTCCCTAATTTAGCAGTTTAAGACTAGAGGGAAGGCAGCTAGTCATCACCACCCACCGCCAACTCTTGGGCTACTCTTTTACCAACGAATAGTGGGATTGACCGTCACATTATAACGCCCCCACGGCTGAAAGGGCAAGCATGTTTGGTGGAACGGGGATTCGAACCCGTGACCCGCAGATTACAAGTCGAGCGCCCTAACCACCTGGCCATGCCGGGCCAAGTGTATTGCAAAGTTGTATTCAGAAAGAATAAACCAGTTTTATTTAAGAAAGGACTTGCATCGTTAAAGTTTCTTAGGAAAGAAATTATACGACCGGAGGCGTAACAATACAAAGAACATTACAAAAGAGTGGGCCGAAAGGAATTTGTTTTCACCATTTGGAGTAATGAAAAAAAAACTGAATACAGCCGCGCGCACACACAACGTTCGCCTTTGTTCCAAAGAACTGCTTCCTGTTTACTGAACATCACCGAACTGTTATTACGTTATTACTATTACTGTTTTTGACTTTTTATTTATAATTTCAATAAATTTGTTGGCCGGCCCACCTGACCAGTCCGACCTTTATAATCATGCATCATAGTGATCATCCGTGCTGTACCACTATCAATGATAGCATTATATCAGCAGCAATAACCATCCAAAAATTGTCATTGTTTCCTGAGAAAGCACCATACATCAACAGCGTATTTTATTAAACTAAACTGTTTTAAAAGGATAGTATTTCTATTATACAGATTGACGTCCATTATTAAAACTTGTTGATTCAAAAAGCGAAGAATGGGGATCTTTAAAAATTACAGAAACAAAATAGGTAGCTTAAAGTGGAAATGCAATCGCAAAAAAGAAGAATAAATAAACAAGATTAAGGTTTGAGACATAGTGTTGACAGTATTTCCTCAGGCTACAAATCCATAATTTGACTTCATGTGTAAAAGCTTTAATATTTAGGAAAGTCAAATAGGGATTTGTAGCATGAAGAAATACTGTCAACACTATGTCTCAAACCTTAAGCTTAATTATTTATTTACTCTTTTTTTTGCGACTGCATTTTCACTTTAATCTATCTATCTTGTTTCTGTATCTTTTAAATATCTCTATTCCCCCTTTTTAAATTAACGATTTTTAATAATCTTGTCCCTAGATAATTTTTTAACTAATGGATAAGACTATAAATTATAATACTAAATAGTTTAACTAATTGATAAGACTATAAATTTTAATATTAAAAATTCCGCTGATCAATGCTGTTACTGTTAAGTGGTATATGACGTCCAGAGCCTAGAAGTTAGAGATAGAAGTTTAGTAGTAGTACTGTTTCATCTGGTTATTTCATAACACGTTAGCCGGCATTAATTATTATTAGTTAACCAATTGTTACGTAAGTTAAACATTAAATTTAAAATGAAATTTCAGTATCCCAAACCTCGTCGTGATGATAGCTTTGTTGAAGATTACTTTGGAGTTAAAGTGAGTATTTTTGTTTTTTTTGAACTAAATTCTAAAGTAAATGTAATCAACGAAATAAACATGTCTCAGCCTAGAGTTTACAAATACTCTCAGTCACTTGGCCCATCATAAAATCAGGTTTTTTCTTTTGTTTTGTTTTGTTTTTTCACGTAAAGTAAACTATTTCACTTTCCAGTTTCAGTTTTTATTGGGCATACTTTCATCAGGCCTTGCTCTACCTGTGTGCCTTATAATATATAATTACTTTTTCAGTCATTGTGTTTGTTACCAATTGGTTAGTAAAATGTTTTAAAGTAAATGATTGACTTTAGTTTACTTGTGAGTTAGATGTACATTGGCTTTGGAGTTTATGTTGAAACTTTGTGTGTGAAGTTAGGCTTGCCAGTGAACATAGCCTATTTAGAAGTGTTACAAAAATAACAGAACATCTTATAGAAGTAACCTTTTGCTTTCTCCCATCCAACCCCTCTACAGTCCAGTTCTTGAGTTAACTGCCACCAATGTTATTTTCTTTGCTAATATTTTATGTGCCACATTATCAAAAGCTTTTGAAAATCTTACAAAGTACACATTTAGGTGACAAGTAACATCAAAGATAAAGAGATTACAGAAGAGTAAAGTTAGATTTCTCCTTGAGTTTGATGGTTCCATCTTCAATCTTGACTTTCATTAATGGCATTATATTTTACTAGTTAATTTTGCAAAGATTCTTTTATCAGACTTTACAGAATTTTGCACACTATAGAAGTAAGATCAACTGTCCTATAATTTCTAGAGGACTCTTGTCATCCTCATTTAAAAACAGGAGTAACATTAATAACTCTTCAGTTTTGAGGGGCATCTGCCCTCTGTTTTTTGTCCTACCATAAATGAAAGAATGGTGCTCACATATTTGATTTTTAAGTTTAACCACCTTTAAAACCCCAATTAGAAGTTTGTCTGGCCTTTGTGTTTTATTAGTAATTCCACACTATTTCTACTTGCCATCATTAGATTAATATCCAAATGAACTAAACCATTTCCAATATTTCCCATAGAATGCTCAGCATGTGAGATGATGTAAGTGGTCAAATGAGCAATGCTTATTCCAACATATTGGAAGATAGTCCAAAGGCACTTGCTACATAGATTAGATGGTGTTTTTAGCATATGTTTGCTAGTAAGTATTAACTTTTGTGCCCTTTATGGCTCCCAAACAGGGTGGTCACAAAAAGTCCAAAGTTTTTTTGAAATACTGGTAGTTGTAATCAATGTAAATTTCTTCTGCCACATTGCTTCCCATCCTGTGTTTTAGAAGCTTTACCAACTTATACAATGTGGTACAGTATATGTATCTAAACACTTCTTTGTATGTTTACTACTCATGTAATTCTTCTTAAATAAAGGGGAATATATCAGAGTGTGAAATCATTATTTAATTATATATACACGTATATGAAGAGCTTAAATGCAAAATGCCATATATTCAGTTTTGCCATTTTAGAATTTTATTTCCTGAAGTTTTCCCAAAAATGCTATAAAATAAAAAGTGGCTTACTTATTAAATAAAAACCATTCTGAATAATTATATGAAAACCTAAGAAAATCTAACTTTATTATTTATTTCAAATGTTACAAAATCTTTTATTTTTTGGATTAAACACTTTACATCCATAGGTCTTTTTAGTCGAAATGCTGCATATCCATCAATGAAATGCCATTCGAAGCTAAATTTTGTTGAAAATGTCACATACCATATTACACATCTAAGCTCTTCATATATATATTTAAATATTTTTATGGTTATTGGCATTTATCATAAGGATTTTACACTGCAGAATTTCAAATACTTCATGAATGAACTGATAAAGAATTCATTGTTAACATTAATGCTGTTGTAAACTCAGTTGGTGTTTAATATATATATATATATATATACACACTTGCTCACTTTAATGAGCTCCTACTGTAGACAGAAACAGTGCAATAATTTGTTACTGTATGTATAACTGAGGGTTTGTGAATTCAGAGGATAAGTATATTTGTGTATATGGCTTTGGTTTGAGATTTAGAGGTACACATTTTTAAATGTTAGTGTATATGTTCCATTCTTCTACAGTTCAGAAGCTTCAGGAACTTGTGTGCATTCTATAAATCTCTTCAGTGATTTTTCTATCAATAAAACAAACAATGTGAAAAAACAAACTATTTGTGTAATG